CCAGCCACATACATTAAAGCTGGCAGGTTTGAACCAGGCCTGGCCCAGCTAACCAACAATGACAATTGCAACAAAAAATGGCCAGGTGTTCTGGTGGGCACCTATAGTCACAGTTACTTGGGAGGCTGAGGCAACAGAATAGTTTAAGCCCAAGAGTTGGAGGTTGCTGTGAGCTGTGATGCTACTGCACTCTACAGAGAGTGACATTAGTGAGACTCTGTCTCAAAAATATATATATTATAATAATAAATAAATGAAATAGATAAATAAATAAAAATCACTACATAATTTCTAAGTGGTATAGACTTAGAAAACATGGTAGTATGTTAAGTATTATATTACAGCAAAAATTAAATTTAAATTTGGAAAGTGTTTTATAAGTTTTAAGAAAACTGATGAGTAGCCAGGCATTGTGGCAGGTGCCTGTAGTCCCAGCTATTTGGGAGGCTGAGGCAAGAGAATCACCTAAGCCCAGGAGTTGGAGTTAGTTGTGAGCTGAGATCCCACAGCACTCTATAGAGGGTGATAAAGTGAGACTCTTATCTCTAAAAAAAAAAAAGAAAACTGATGAGGGTTTTTATGCCTACCAGGCTACTAAACACTATCCCCAAGCACAGTGAGAGGCCAAAACCCACAAAAGTAGAAACAAGTAAATACCCAGATGTACCTGTTTGTCTTCCAGTGGGTCGGCCTCTCCCTTACTGGACTCAGAGCTGACATCATCCTCATCAGAACTGTTGAGGACTTCTTCTTCATCAGAGGGAAGGTCCCCAAGACCAAGATCGAGATCATTCTGTCCCTCCTGGGATGCTCCAGAACTGCTGTAAGAGAAAGTATTCACTGGTCACCCTTAATGACAAGGAGTGTGAGCAAAACAAACCCAAACCAACCACCTTATCCTTGTAATGTGGGCAAGGTATGCTAAGGGGTTTAGAGGGATGGAAACAGCCAGATCAGTCAAACTTCCTCTTCCTTTAACCTGTCTGGGCTGCCCCTAAACCCAAATTCATTTGGTCCATTTGTAACAATAGGAAGGAGTGTGGGAGGCAAGTTTCCCAGATGTTCCCATCCTATTCTTCCATATAGCCTTCCCTAGAACAGTGTTTTTCAATCTTTTTTATCTCAAGGCACACTTGAACCTACAGTTTAACTTCTGTGCCACCCTTAAATTATGTTGATTTTTTTAAAAAGTTAAAAGAGAGTAAAATTAATGTGCTTTGAACTTCTTTTGAAAATAATTTAATTAATGATGTTTAAAAATTTTCCAGGCACATGTAAGAACCTCTCAGGGCACATTGGTTGAAAATCCCTGCTCTGCAATCAGGTCTGTATGCTGAGTATAAACCAAGAAGCCTTATAGGGAGCATGCTGGCTCACCACACAGGGCACTGGCTGCACAGGTATACCAGAAGATCTGCTGCTTCCTTGGGTGTTTAAAACAACAAAAACCAAGTAATGGATCTATGAGGACTGGGAGGTAATGATGGTGATGACAAGCAACAAGGCGCATGCTCTTTTGACCATGAGCCCCCACCACTGTTGTTATGTACCCAAATCAGAAGACATGGGAAGGAACAGAGGATGTTACCAATTCTTAGGCTCTGCTCAAGACCTGCTCAATTAGCAACATCAGGGTATAGGGGCCTGGCGACTTGCATTTTAGCAAGCCTTCCAGGTGAATCCACCACAGGCTGAAGTTTGCAAACAGCTGTACCAGGTCATTTACCAACTCTCCTCCCTGGACTGATGTCAGCAAGGTTTGCCAGTTTGCATTGACACAGACCTCAGGAACCTACAAGCCATTGTTGCAATCCAATCTGTGGGGGGAATTCCAGAGGAAAGTCCCCAGACAGATGGAAAGAATTCTTTCTAGAGTTGCTTGTAAAGATTCAGGAACAAAATGCCTGTAGCATGCTTTTCTGTGGTTGGTCTACAAGAATACAAGAATATCTGCAGAACAGAAAAGTACAGGTGGGACCAGTAAAAGAGCCACAGAAAAGTCACAGGGAAGGACACTCGAGCAGAACAGATAGTTGCATCCCACTCTCGCAAGCTCTTTACAAAGGTCATGGGCAGGTCACTCAATTGCCAAAGCTACAAGTTGAGCGTTTCTAACGGGAATCTTAAAAGCTGAAGATAAATTTTCTGCCAGTTCCTGATTACACACTGTAGGATACAGACTTGCCTCAGAAGCCATTCCTGGAGCCCAACTGTTACAAAAACCAGTTGGATGGAGGCAGAATGCCAAAAAGGAACACTTCCCACTGCCAAAGACGGGGTTTCCTATTACTCAGTGGCCAGGGGCCTCAGGGAATCATATCATAGCCTCAATTCAATTAGGTGGGTGCACACACTTTATCAGAGCTCACCATGACAGGGAAGAGACTCACTCCCCAGAGGCTGACATGGGGGTGTGGAGGGTGGAAGCTTTCTAGTAAGAGAGATGGCAAGATACGCTGTCTCTGGCTATGGAGATAAGGGCCAACCCAGCTGAGTAGTTAATTGTTGTTTTAGATTAGCAAGAGTAAGGTGAGTTAACAGGATATACAGACTGCAGGAGCCACCCATATAGGTAGAAGAAAAAATATCTTTTCTTGTTGGGGGTGGGAGGGGTGTTCGTATTTGCCTCAAAAAAAAAGTCTAAAACTCCTGGCTGAACTCCTGCCTCAGCTTCACGAGTAGCTGGGACTACAAGTACATGTCACTATACTCGGCTTATTTTTTCTATTTTTGGTAGAGACAGGGTCTTGCTTTTGCTCAGGCTGTTCTCAAACTCCTAACTTCCAGGGATCCTCCCTCCTCAGTCTCCCAGAGTGCTAGGATTAGTTGTGAGCTGACTGGCCCTATCCCCTTCACTTGTTTTTATCCTAATTCCTTATCTCTTTACATTTTCCAAAACGCAGTTAGCAGGACACACAATTCAATTTCCAAGTGGCATCAACACCTCCTGGAATCTTGGAAATGGAGACTCTCAGCCCCCTGCCAACCACTGAATCAGCATCTGTTTTGTAACAAAATCCCAGTGACAGGTAGGAGAAGCTGGGCTCTAAAAGGCTCTTTGAATCAACCCAGCTGTGTTTTTGGACTCCAAAGTATTGACAGATTTGGATAATTAGTAATAGGGCTGTACCACCTGTGAGGAAATTAGGTTTATTTTGTCTAAGAGGAGAGCTGAAAGGTGTTTCTTGGACAAACTTTTGGAAAGCTGCAATTAAGAAGATAATAACCGGTGGTTGCCACATCCATTAGGGATAGGAAAGGAATCAAAGTGCAAAAGTTAACGTTCAAGAACAGGGAACAAAGAGGCTTTAAATATTAAAACTACACGGAAAACATACGGCCATGAGTAACAGGAGACTTTGGTTTCTCTTCTGACTCTTACATTATCTCATTCAACTGCACTTGATTCCCTCATTAAAATGTAAGCTCCTAAGAACAAGGAAATTGCGTTTGCCAGATGAATCTCCAGCATAAAGCCCAACACACAAGAGACTCTCAAGCATTTTTAACTGAATAAACAAAAATGGTAGTAGAGGCAACGAGGGTGAAATTTCAGAAGTGCAGGTGGCCTGAACCAGGGTGGCTACCTTAGGAATTGAGAAGGGGGGCAGATTAAAAAAAAAAAAATCATCAGGACATAGGGTAAAGGGGTGGGGAGGAAAAACTCAAGTAACAAGGTTTCAAGTCAAGGTCACCAGCAGAGAGTGACATAAACTGAAACAGACACAGGGAACGGGAACCTGATTTTAAAGGCAAGCTAACACATTTAATAGCACAATCAGGAAAGATGACATTTAGGATCCACATGTACGTGTTCATTTCTCTTAAAACTGTGAATTAAGCTATTTTCCCACACAATTGTTAGCGGCTTTTGGGTTTACCTAGATAATTTTAGACTTCTGATAATACGGATCGCATACTGGTGCCAACATTGTAGTTTGAGGCTCTTCTATTATTTTTTTAATTTCCTTCCCACTGTCAGGAGGATAACATCCTAACACTGCCTGCTTTGAGGGATAAAGGAACAGGACGTAGTGCTTCCTCCACATCTTCCTGCCTAGTTAGTGCATAATTTGATAGTTGAAGTGAAAGGAAAATAAGAGGTAAAAGCAACCAAAACAGAGACTGGGCTCCGCTTCCCCGGGCCCCACGTCCCCAGGCCACCCTTTCTAAGTCAGATCTGCTTCTGGGAGGGGCCTGGTCCCTAGAAAATTGGTTAGTTTCTAGTATCCTGGAGTAAAGACAGATGCCAGTAAAACCAGAAATAAATTCCTCCTGATGGCAACCGTTCCTTCAATTCCACATGCCAAGACTTACATACATTTGGAGTGATGATTATTCGATGCCATCGCCTTTTAAAAATTACTGATCTTTTTTCCCTCTATGTTTGTTTCTACATATAGACAGTATATACTCCACTGGAAGTACATCAGATTTCTCTTTCAGGTAAGAGGTCACACAGGATGATTTCTTTTAGAAGAAATTGTCTTTTTTGAAACATACTCAATCTATTTCCCCTAAGAGTTTTTAGAAATGTAAAATCTGGATTACGTTGAGCCAGGCATTAACAGTTTGCCTGGGTTCACCGCAAAAAAAAACCTGGGAAGTCTCCACTAAATTACAAATTCTAGCAAAGGGAAGGGAGAAGGACAAAGATGGCAAAGAGAGGGAACGGAGAGGCAGAGTCAACCGAGGAATGCTTGAAAACAGAGTCTCCTCTGTTGTTGACAAATCTAGTTATTTTTTTTCTTCTCTTGCCTGTGATATTCTAAGCCCCTTAACCAAAGACTATTCCGTGTAATTCCTCCCGAACTTGAAGAAAGCTCATTCCAATACCCTCACCTCCAGAAGTTTCTTTCTCATTTCCAAGTCACAACATGTAAATCTGAACTTCTGTGATCTTTCTCTTCCTCTTCTCTCTAGTCCTGGCTCAAACTGAACAGAACCCGCTCGTCCTCAGGATGTTGTTGTAACTCTTTGTCAAACGCTGTCTCCTAATGACTTGGTGATCATGTGTTTCCTTTGGTGACTCTCATATTTATGACAGAATGAGCGGAAAAAAACTATTAAGGACTTTGAGGATGCACATTACATGGAAAAATTAGCAAAAAATTTTAAAATAACTTACTTAATAGTTATTTTATAATATGCTAACTATATAAAATTGGTTTACGATTTTCACCAGAAAATTATTTCTAATAGGCTTCACCAGAAAACTTTTTAACTCTATGACTTCAGTTACCCTATAAAACCGCAGATCCCACAATAAATAAGTAAGCAAGGCACGTCACATTGTGTATCAAATCAGTACACTGAACCCCATAAATGCATCAATGTACAGTTTATGATTTAATAAAAAAAATGTAGATTCCAGGGTCAGGTGAAATCATGAATCAAATCAACAACAAAAAAAATTTTAAACCCTTCTAATTCTCATTTTTGGTTCATCTTCTCAATTACATAGTACTTCTGGAATTTTCTCCATTCCCCCACTCAGATGGTTTTCCTGGGAACCAGCGTGAATTGAGTAAGTCATCTGTCTAATTCCTGTAGGAATCATGGCACAACTTGGGAAATAGGCATTCGGGGCCATTTGCATCCTCTAATAAAGCAAGTGTCAAATACTCACGTCATGTTTTTAGACTTTGCAAACAGAGGATCTCACACAATTATTTTAAGTATGTACAGAGCTAGGGTGGCAATATAAAGCCAAGAGATAACATAAGAGCCTGAGGCAAACTTATCTAACTTGAACAAATAACAAGTTCAACAAACGTGACCCCTCTGTCCTGGGAGGTGAACTGAATCATGTAGTGCT